GTCCTTGTAAAACTCCACAGTGCCGGCATTCAGAAACAATAAATAAGGCTGCTCATTAGAGTAGCTGGTGCGATCTTCTGTTTCTTTGCAACTCCCGTCCAGTGCGTGCTCGTGCAACTTTGTCCACCGGACGTTTATGCAACTCTGCACAAGGGAAACATGCTGTAAAAAGTTCTCATTGCCCCACTGTCTGATATGTTCAGAAATAATTGTGTCTGCCGAATCACTAATTTTGACGCAAAAGTTTTCAAGAGAAGTAGGGGTTACGTGGGAGCTGAATCTATACGCGGCACGGAACATCTTAGGTTTCAGCGCCCTAGCTTTCGAGCTTTGCCGCCAAATTTTTGCGTGCCTGTACATATTGAAGGCTGCGAGCGTAAATGGGTGAAGTAGAAGGGTCGAAGACCAAGAACTTACTTCAATAGCGTCGCATTTTTGCGACAACAGTCCGAACGCGTTTGGCGATCTGTGCGCTTTTTTGTTAACTAATAACCCAGGCTGGAACGCACCAGGCTAGCCGGTGCGATCATGCGTTTTTGCACGATTTCTTACGGACGTTTAGTTCTGTGCTGATATAATTATCTTTTATTTATTTAATTTATTCCTTTAACAGCATTATCAGTAATTAGTAACCACATGTGCGCTATTTACGTTAGTGATTGTTGCGAATTCAGATTATCACAAGGATGGTTTCATTCGATGTGCTCATTTCCCAGTGAATCTCTTTGTTCCTCCGTTACGCATCATGGGATGGAATTGTGCCCCGTGAATTTAATCCGATCTTGGCTGCCGGTAGCGATTGCAGTTTTGCTGACGTCGGGTTGAAATAGAACTGTTATTCAATCGATTTATGGATTATATCTGGCCCAGATAGGCTCATGAAAACTTGTTAGGGAAATGTACGTGCCGTGAGTTATGTCGAAATTGCTTATAATGAGATCAAGCGTTGAATTCGCATTAGTCGTGGGTACATTCACATTCCAAATTTTTAGTCCAAATTCGTGCATCATTTCCTTGAAACGGGGGTTTTCTGTTTCAGCAATATTGTGATTGAAATCCCCCAATATAAGTTTTCGACCCTCTTCCTCGGAAAATCTTGCAAGGAAGGACCGAATGCTAGCAATCGTTACAGCAGGACTTGCGTACACTCCGGCAATGAGCACATTGCGGAGTTTTATAAAAGTTGCATCCAAACAATCCTCATTTTCTCCAATTCTGATGGATGCTGTGTTGCGAACATTATTCATCATCTGCTGCGACACCAGGCAGCAGGCTTCGCGAGCTATTCTTGCCGGTCCGATGCAGTCGGCACGTATAGCCGTCCGGTAGCCGCTGATATGGATGTCGTCTGCTGCCACTGGCCAAGTCTCTCCGAGGAGTATTACGTCGCTTGCTGTGTAAAAGGCGTCGTTCTGGATCTGGTCGCGGTGTTTTGCGAAGCTTTGCACATATATAACCTGAACAGCGCTGTGTTCTGTTCGGAGAAATTTGAATGTGGGCTGCAAAAGCATTGCTCCTGTAGCCATAGCTCGATCTGCAGCGGATCGTTGGGTTGCGATTGTCGCGGCATCTTAAATTCGTCGATTATGTACAGTCCAGAAAGCGACGTGACTCTGGATAGCGCAACGTAGAGCAAAGCGCGATTCATGTGCCGTGCAGTGTGGAGAACCACAGACGGATATGTCTGACCCTGACTCTTGTGGATTGTTATTGCTTCCGCCGGAACCAATGGGAATTGTTTGCGTAGCACTTGCAAATTTGATCCCTTGCTACGTTTGATCGGTGTATTATTGGCTCCAGCGGGTCCAGTTCGTCGGGTAATGCTTGCGAATGCTAATGCTGCTGAACCTCCTGCGCATCTTCGTATCCACCTCCTGGTCGTCGAATAGCATCCAGACACGTAAAGGTTTAATCTCATTAGTTTCTCGCTGTCGACAATGTCCCATCTCCACTTGAACTAGTCTTCCAGTAGCACCGTTAGTAAGGCCGCCACTGGTGTCCAAGTTGTATATCATCATGTATCGCACATCAACTTTCAAATACAACGTCCTTGGCAAACCCACTGTTTGGTGAGTAGTTGTGCGTGCGCTACGTACACTTAGTAACATAACGTTTTTGGTGCTCTCCGGCCCATCTCCAGCTGCTCTATCTGATGCTTCGCAAGTTGTTCCAAATCCGGGCATTTCCTTCAGCACTTTATCATTCCATTTATCCACTTCACTGTTTTTGGCGAAAAGAAAAATTGGTTTCTGTGCAGCTGCTGCCTGAGGAAGCTCTGCAAATGTTCGAGACTGAAAGAGTGCTTCATCTGCTGCTGTGAGCTCCCCATCCGCTAAATGATTAAGTGCTTCCTTGAACTGAGCCTCGTTTTGCCGCATCACCACCGTTAACTTGTAAACCTCAAAGAGATGCCATAGAGGCCTTCCAAACGCCTCAACGTACGGATTATGCGATCTGTTCACGTATACTGGTGCTGCCATTACGGGCGGTAGTTGATGGAAATCGTCAACAGCAATTACACTTTTCCCTCCGAAGTCGACATCACCAAATAAATGACGTAGTCGCATGTTTACCATCTGCAGCATTGGTTCGCCAACCATGGAAATTTCGTCAATAATTAACACTTGTAGATGCTGTAGTCTCGTTGCCATGGTATTTGAAACTTCAGCGGATAATTCTGTGAGGCGATTTGAATCAACCGGCAGTTGGAAAAGCGTATGGAGTGTGACTCCATTAATGTTAAAAGCCACTTTTCCAGTCGGTGCAGCCAAAAGAACACTGGGATAATCGGGACTGAGATCCAGCCGTTGCGAAAAAATTCGTAGCAGCACTTGGTATATTGTTCGAATCAGAACACTTTTCCCAACACCAGCTCCGCCTGTTATGAAGTGATATATGGGTCTGTCGCTGCGTTTGAAATGATTCGCGATGTGCATTACGTAATCTCTTTGTTCGTAGTTGAGCGTGCTCAATAGCTGTTCGAACTCAGCATTCGGGACCAGATGTGGCAGTTGGAAGTTTTCTGCATACGGGACTCTTTCGTACTCTGCCTCGGTAACAGGCTCCATTATATTCTCTTCAAGGTTATATTTGTCGAAGTCGAACGTGGGCGCATTCCTATCCTCCTCATTCTGAACCTCGCGGGCTTGCGCATTTTCTTCCGCTTCCTGAAGAGTTTCCTGCAACACTGAACTTGGGAAGTAGTGATACTTTTGCCGCGTCTGCATTATTTGCTGTCTGTGTGCAGTGAATCGAACTTGGCAGTCAATGTTGAGAATTTCATCCGCTTCGTTTCTCCATAGAGGATAGAGTATTACAAGTTCCCTGTAGAACTGTTCTGGTTCGGAGGCAATGTTGTACATCCTGTATCGGATGATTTTTGGCCGAGTACGCTTGCGAATGTACGCACTGCCATCCAGTAACGGCTCGTACGGCCCACTTAAGCTGTTATCTTTAGCCTGTTTGTTGCTCGTCGAATCAACACTCTCCGTCGCATATCTTTCGACTGAACTTCTTGGCATTCTTTTGTAGATGTGATACCAGGCTGCAAAATCAACGAGCGGTACATGTTCCAAATGCACTGGCCGTTTCGTGTAGTGCTCCACCTAGCCGTGTACGAAGCTATCTTGAGATGTTGGATCCAGTATGCGTAGTTCTTCTTGTGGTTTGAGAATTCGTACACGCTCGTTAGGTGGAGATGTTTGTATGAAGACTACCAAAACAGTGGCATTTGAAGAATGTTGTAACTTGCTTCCTGTGCTGATAGTTCCGTGGTGCAGTAGTGAGTTGTGCTGACTGACTGCACTGTTTCACGTAAACTGGTGTTTCCCTTACGTAGTTCTTTAATAATATTATCAACCGTTCTACTGACTCCTCTGTCCGATCTGTTTATGTAATCAATTATGTATACAGCACATGCGTATGGATCCAGCACGTACTGTAGGTCCATGTTGGATCTCATCGTAGATAATATTTTTGGAGAATATGCATTAATCATTATGTCCCGTGGCTCGCGTCTCAAAAAAATTTTGCATCGTAGAAGGTCGGACCGAATTGCCAATAGGTAATTATCCTCATTTATTTGACAGCGATCCAGAAATTGACTGAAAGTGAGACCTTGTACGTTTTCGTCATTGTTAAGCACGTTTCTTATTTGTGCAGCTAGCTTTTGCAGCTGATCTCGCTGAATCAGTGGTATCCGGAAGGGGTTACAGAATGAAGGGAATCCCAAATCTACATTTTCCAGTTTCTCGCTTCCGACAGGTACGTGTGTGTGTTTTTGATACCTTGTGTATGGAGTAGCTGCTTGAGTTGTGGCTCTTCTGCACTATGGAGAGCACTTTCACACGAGATAATACTGTCGATGAAGCTGCACACTTCGAGCTCATTCTCGCCCGTTGAACTATTGTATATCGGTGCGTCGCTTAACCAAATGAGTTGATGTATATGCGGCGAGCCGCGATGCTGAAATTCCACTCTGTGGTATGTGTGTGTAACAACCCTGCCTTGGAATGGTCCTTCAGGAAGGCCCCAAATTTTTGTCTGCTCGTGGTAACGGTGATTGAAATAGCGTGCGCAAGTTACGAGGTCCGCTTGGATTAGTCGGGCCTTTTCGGCGTAGGACATGGCGAGTACTTCGTCTGCACTTGCTGTCTGGTTGTCGGTAATTTGTTTTAAGATTTGCAGTAGCTCAGGCCACTGTGTTTCCGCCGCGGACAAAGTGAGGAAGAAGGTTGGCAGTCCGAACTGCCTTATCACTACGAGTACCTTTAGCTTTTCGTTGTGCCAGTGGGTGCATGAGTTTCGCACTCCCTCGAGAACACGAAAGGCGTCATCGTGACGTACTAATCCGTGCAAGAAGTCATTGTTGATTAAATTTGCCGCATTAATGTCAGTACGATCGCGCACCTTCTTCTTTCTCAGACATATGGCCATATTGCTCGAAAGTTTTAGTAGTTCAATCTTCTTGGCCATGAATAGGAGGTAGTCCGGCCGGTTAGCTACTCCGCGGTCGTATCGCATTGCAAAAGATTTGGCAGTATCTGAATATGACATTGGGCGACCGCAAAATAGGGGATGCAGTTTTTCACCCCGAAAATTGTCGGAAAGGAGAGGTATTCCGTATCCTCATCCAGTAGAATAGAAATCGGTCTTTGTGCTTCTTCTGGAGCCATTCTTATTCCTTGCTGACTTTCTTCTTCCAGCAGCATCGTTTCTTGTACACCAGGATTGAGTGGCTCTGCATCATCGGTGTCTTCCTCATCTTCTTCTGTCTCGATATTTGAGTCGGCCAACCGGGGTTCATTGCGGTCGTATCTTGTAAGCCAATTATCCGAAATGTCAATGTTATGACTGCGATATAGTGATTGTTGACACAAATACAGCGCAGCTCCCCAGACGCGTCTTGGGCGCACATTACCCGATATGTAATTTCCTCTTTACTGCATCCGTCTTGCTATGCGGACGTGCACAACGTGGGTGTCAGTGGTGGCGCGGAGTAGTAGCGAAACCGTTGTGTCCACAGAGACGGGGATGTTAACAATTCCTCCCCTGCACCGAAATTGTCCGGTTGGTCCGTTAGATGGCCAAATTGTTTGGAAAATATGTCGGGCTGCTACGAGTCGCTCTTCCACTCTGGTGAGATCCCGAACAGTGGGATGCACTGCAGGGAAAGCCAAACCGTTAGCTAGGCAGTAGCATGGCTGTTTCCAAGCTTTAATTTTTGGGCGCATGTTCTACAGAAGAATGCTTCGTCGGTTTTCTACAGGTAAAACACATTCTCTAAAAGAATCATTTTCGCCTGCCCGCCCGTTGCAGCTCGGAAAGATGCGGAGTAGTGATAGACCGCTTAAATTCTAACCGCCCGCAGCAGTTGCATACGTTAGTTGGACCCTCTCTTATTGCGTTTTCATACGTGACTAGAGCAGCTGCATAACTGCTTCTTAGACGCTGTCGTGCTTCGCGGTCCCTAGCGTGTTCTTCGTTCCATGTCTCTTTGTCTGTCCGTCGGTTTTGCATTGCTTCAGCATTCGCAAGTCTCTCGTTTTCTCGGTACTCTTCGTCTGTGTCTCTTCGGTATCTCATTGCTTGAGCATTCGCAAGTCTTTTGTTCTCCCGGTACTCTTCGTCTGTGTTCCTTCGGGATCTCATTGCTTCAGTATGCGCAAATCTTTCATTTTCTCGGTACTGTTCGTCTGTATCTCTTCGGTATCTCATTGCTTCAGCATTAGCAAGTCCTTCTTGTTCCCCGTACTCTTCGTCTGTACGTCTTCGGTGTCTTATTGCTTCCATATCTAACCGACGCTGATTTTCGTTGTAAGTGGCATCTCGTTCCCTCCGAATTCTCATCGCTTCTCTGTTTGTTCCTCTTTCATCCCGCCTATAGTTAGGATTTGCTTGGCATCGGATTTGCATGACTTCGGTATTAGCTTGTCGTTCACTATCTCTGTATTCGGTCTGCTTTTGCCTTCGAGACTGCATCGCTAGTCTGTTAGCGTCCCTTTCTCTTTCTCTGTATACGTGGTCTCGTTCTCGTCGAGTCCGTCTTGCCATATTGTCAACTTCCCTCTCCCGTATTCGGTATTCGGTATTAGTCTGTCTGCGATTTCGCATGGCATTCCTGTTGGACATTCTCTCTCTTACTGTGTGCCCAACATCATTTCGAATTCTCATTCTCTCTACTGCTCGTAGCCTTCTCTCGTTTCCCGGGCTTGGCTCGCTGCGTTGGATTGTTTGGTTTGTTGCTGGTTGACTCGTCCGGTGGGTGCGCATGTGTTTCGTTTCGTTTAACGCTATTCCAGAGCGAACATCTGCAGTAGTTGGAGACTTTAGTACAGATAAATGAGAAGGAATGTCCTGTATGTTAAGTTTTACTGGTTTTGAATGCTCACCGCAACAGTGATTTTGAAAAATTGACAGAAAATTTAAAAAATTAAGCTACATTGATGGAACCTATCTGATACTACAAATTCAGTACTGAGGCTTCTGCTTGGGTTGCTATCATCTGCAGCCGTCGGGTGCTCCGTGGAAAGTGGCTGCGACGCTGTTTGCTGTGCAGCTGTATTCCGTACACCTTCATCGCGGATGTGAGCGTTAAAGCGCCGCTGACGTATCAGCGCGTTATTGCGGTGCCGCCTACGAACACGACTCGCTAGTCGCTGTGTTTGAAACTGCCTTTTGCGTGGCATTTATGCGTGACTGAGCTGAAAGATGAGGCTACTTGTTTGATGACATGCAAAAATGCAAATTAAGCTGAAGGTGGAACGAAAAGGAAGTTTGTTAGGCCAAAGTTTTTTCTTGAAAAATGAAATGTATTGGAATACTGACGCTCGTATCTACTTGCAAACGGTAAAGTGTTGCTTTAGTGAAACGCAGATGTACAAAAATACTTACTTTTTGCTCTCGCAATCACTCATAATCAGGAAATATTCAGTTAGGAATATAACTTACCATTTCGTCGAGTAGGGCGGTGCAACAGTGCCAGCACTTTTGAAGTCTGAACTTTGCTGTATCGGCATAATGGATGTAAACATTAGTGGAGGGCGATATCATGCACTGAGTGCCGTATGGGATATGTTAGCATTACCGGAAAACCACATCTTTCTTACGTAATTAGAGAGAAAAAGAGAGAGGGAGATAGTGATCATGATAGTATAGCAAATCAAACATGTCCATGTGCGTAGCCCGAAATTTACATCCGGACCGAATTTACCTCAAAATTTTAGCTTCCTAGCTTTCCTGGTTATCGAGTTAACAATTCTCCCGCCAAAACTTTCACGTGCTTGTGCGTAGGAACCGCGCATACCTGAAGGCTAAATTTGGGACGTGTAAGTTGTACTTAGGCAAGGAACACTGCCTCAAAATTTCAGCTTTCTAGCTTTCCTGGTTATCGAGTTAACAATTCCCCCGCCAAAACTTTCACGTGCTCGTACGTAAGAAATGCGTATGCTTGGGAGCTGGAAATGAAAAATTTGAGTAGTGCTTGGATGAGAAACATTACTCCAAAATTTCAACTTTCTAGCTTTCCTGGTATCCGAGTTAGCAATTTTCCCCCTAAAACTTCCATACGCTCTTGCGTGAGTACCTCTCATGCCTGGAGGCTGAGTTTAAAACCTTTAGTTAGTACATGCACAGGAAATATACGCACAAGTTTCAGCCCCTTAGCTCGTGTGGTTCTCGAGATCGCCTTCCCGCCAAAAAATTTGCATATTTTTTAAAGCGCCCGTACGCGCCACCTAGGCGCCCGCTGGAGATGAAATTAAAACGGGAGGGTTGCGCATGGTATGGGCACATACTCCCAAAGTTTCAGCCTTCTAGCTTTTCTGGGTCCCGAGTTGAAAGTGGGTGACAAAAAGTGCGAAC